CAGTCTTAGAAGTCAAGGGTGGCGAAGATGGTCCATCCTACACCATTGAACTGCCCCTACACCTCCACACCTACCCAGTTTTCCATGCGTCAAAGTTGCTGCCGTGCACGATAAGTGATCAGTTTCCATCTAGGCGATCTATGATCCCACCTGACATGGACGGAAGATACGACATTGACGGCATCGTAGGTGAAGATGTGTTCAGAACAGGAGGTAGAGGTCGTCCTCAGAAACAGTACAAAGTCAGATTTTCATATCAAGAACCAGAAGACGACCGGTGGTTCACTAGAACTGAACTTCTAGAGACAGCTCCCAACATAGTCCGCGCCTACGAAAGAGATAGGAAAGGTAAAGGTCCTGCCTTGGACTGAAATTTTCTTGGAGGACCTCGAATTTAGGCCGGCGGGAGTGAAACAGTATTCACCGGGTTGCAGTAGCCGATGCAGATCCCAGGGCTCGATCCCTAGATCCCCACCTTACCCGTGTACAATATCTATGTCAACCCGTAGAATTGAACCCGCGACCTGTAGGACCGCCAGTGGTAGGTAGGATTTCGTAGGTCACAGGGTAGAAGGGATTCGAACTGTAGACCTGTCGGGTAGGAGTCTAGACAGTCCAGAGGTCGTAGCTGTAGACTGTCTGAAGGGTCAAGGTCGTAGCTGCTACTTACCTGAAAGGGCAAAGTCGTAGCTGCTACAGTACCGAAAGGCCAAGACAAAGGTTTCTAGAAGTGGCCTTTCGGAGTCAGCCTACGTTAGGCAGAGGCAAGTGGTCAAGTGGAGGCAGTCCACCTCGTACAGTCAGCAGTCCCAGTCCACCCAGTCCGGTCCAGTCAAGCAAGTACCGTCTGGGACTGTGTGCCCCACGGGCCAGAAGTATAAATCAAGAGGCTGCGCCCAGCCATTCATTCATTCCTGCGGAAGCCATGCGGAAGCGCTGCCACAGCAGCTTGTGCGAGGAGGTCTGCAGTAGGCCCGAAGACGAAGTGGGCGAGAGTGAAGCAGTGTAGCCATAGCGATAGGTAGCGGCAGCCATAGCTGCCATAGCTTAGTATAGAGTGCAGTGTGTGTGTACTGTGTGAGTGTTTAGAGTGATGAGCGTGGGACATCCAGGGTGATCTAGAGTGTGAACAGTGAGTTGTTTGAGGCGCACGGTCGCCATAGCCAGTGGAAGCGAACTGTTACCTGGAAGCCATATCTCTGAGTTCTGTGTGGGCGCATATCGCCAGTTTGTTGTTCTGCTGTTCACGTGCATGGAAAGTGGGAATAAGTCGAGTCTGATTGCAAAAATGTGAAAAGCAGCTATATCTTATAGGTTTGACACTTGGTCGTCTTATATGGTTTGTAGGTTTGACGCTTGGTCTAAAATGGGAAAGCTTTACCGTTTGGTTTGACACTTTTTCTATGATGTGGATGCGATTTTTTTATATGTTTCACACATGGCCTAGGTTCGGGACTTGGTTCAAAAATTTAAAGCTTTACATCTTATAGGTTTGACACCTGGTGTAAAATGTGGAAGCTATATCTTCTAGGTTTGACACCTAGTCTAAAATGTCTAAAATGTGGAAGTTATAAAATGTCTAAAATGTGGAAATTATATCGTGTAGGTTTGACACTTTGTCTATGATGTGGAAGCTATTTCTTATAGGTTTGACTGACTTTGACACCTAGTCTAGGTTTGACGCTTAGTCTAGAATGCTAAAGCTATATCTTATAGGTCTCAGCATTTCTGATGGAACTATAGATAGATGTTCAAGGAGATGTCTAACCCCATTCGATGTGCGCAATGGAGCAAGCATGTCCATTCTTTTTTTTCAACCACTAGTACCTTTGACGGTTGGGAAAATAGGGAAAACTGCCAGTTTGCCCAAACTTCAAAAAAGTTGGGGGCTGGGCCTGATGACGGCCGCCGTTGATGAATCTCATCGGCGACCGTTGTTTCGATCCGCCCTCCTAAAAGATTGGAGGCCCACCTGAGGCTCCCTATTTTCCCAACCGTCAAAGGTACTAGTGGTTTTAAGTATGGGTTGCATAACTTACCTACTAGTAATTAACACAAATGTGGTGCTGTTTTCTTGAAATCTTTACTCATAAATCTTCCCCCCCCCCCCCCCCCCCCCCCCCCCCCCGCCTCTCTTTTTTTTTTTTTTGGCATTTTCACAGGTGGCTTTGCACAGCGATGTCCCTCTCGAATTACTGGAGAGTGAATTGGACTTCCCCATCGAACGCGTGCAATCCATGTATGTCCCCTCCTCCCCTATGCGCGTAACGTGTGTGCTGAGTCCAGGGTCTGATGAGTCGGATTGGTGCTTTTTCAGTCTTCCGCTCCTTGCCCCATTTTACTGATTCCTTCAATTCCTTGGTTCTGCGTCATTCTTGAACTCAGGAGGATTTGAACCCAAAACGTGACCCATAACCGAAGATGCCTTGGTTCTCCGTCATGCCTATCTGATGGTAGGCATGCAACAGTTGTGCAGCAATCTTCGGCTCTATATGTGATTGATCTTTTCTTTTAGGGGCGAGCCGGTATTATCCTCAAGCATCAGATCAGTTAGTGTGGTGTTTTCATCGTGCAGCCATGCAGACAGCCATGGTGCTGCAAAGAGCCCAAACTTCAAACAAGCATCTCAACCGAAACACAGAGAACAGATTTCAACACATGAGAGTTGCACGAGATATGAAAACCCAAAAATAGTTTCAGAAATTGATGCCTTATACAACGAGTTTGTTTCCACAAGCTGGGCGGCTATGACCGCCAGTTAACAACAGCCAAGAATGAACTCTCTCCCTCTCTCTTAACTGTCAGGTCTTGCTCTTCCTTTGTGAATGTCATCTTTTGCCCAAGCGCCACTCTAAGCTAAGCTATGACACCCAGCACCAGTCGAATACAGCTTTTCGCTCTGCCTCACTGCACCCTCACTGGTCGCTGGGTCGCACAAGATCGGAGCAGCGCCTCCGCACCTAGCTTCACGAATGGAATCAGGTGTGTCGACAGCCACTGCTGTGGTGCTTTCATATTCCTTAGTTATTGATGCCGACTGCGGTGCTTTTGTATCGGACCGGGCAAGTCAGCTCCCCTTCCTTTCGACCAGTACCGGTAAGCTAATCTATGGCGCCCAGTGCCAGTTGACTACAGCTTCTCGCTCCTCCTCACTGCAGCCTGCCGGCCATGGACTTTCCGTCCTTTGATGTTTCTGGGATGTTCGCTGACTTTCCTGGGATCCTGGGATGCTGACTTCCCTGCAACTTCCCTGCAACTTCACTCAACTGGACTCAACTGGACTCAACTTGGGACTGGGACCCGACTCTACAGTCATGAATCCTGACTAACCTACCAGAGTGGAACCCAACTCTGACAGTAGATGGGACCTCCGGACTGGGGGCCGACTCTGACAGTCATGAATCCGGACTAACCTACCAGAGTGGAATAACGGTGGACGGGACCTTGGGACCTGGGGACCTTGGGACTGGGACCTGACTCTGATAGTCGTGAAATCCGTTCGATGGACAGACAGTCATGGAGAGAGCCATGGAGAGAGTCATGAAGAGGAAGCCATGGAAAGAGTCGTGTGACTGGACTGAACTGGACTGAACTGAATTAGACTGGATTAGACTGGAGTCCCAATCTACCGACGGTTCTAACGTACCTAACCTACCAGACTGTAACTATGGCACATGGGACCATGGGAATTATGGTACATGGGACCTTGGGACGGGAACCCAACTCTGATAGTTGTGAAATCCTTTTGATTGGCAGACAGCCATGGAGAGACACTCAGGGAGAGGCAGCCATGGAAATAGCCGTGTAGACAGCAATGGAGACAGCCATGGATACAGCTGTGTAGAGGCAGCCAAGGAGACAGCCATGGAGACAATCACGGAGATAGTACACATATGTCAGATCCGGGATCCGAGTGTTTCCTTTCCTCGTGTAGCAGTTTATCTGCAGGGAGGGCTGTGTAGTGAACCCATATATGAGAAGCTCACACCATCAACACCATGGATGAAACTCGTGATGCTCAAAGAATTACAGTCGCAAAGAAATAGCAAGTAGACTGTAGACCAGAGTCAAGACAAAGCAAGAGAAGAATAGGAGGAGGATAATCTATAGATTCTAGAACAATTCCTGCTTTCCTCCTTGAGCCCCCGGGCTTCTTCTATCACTTCTTGCCACCTCCACAGTCATCAACTCTTCTCTCTGCCAGTGACGATGACGGTACCTCTCTCACAAATGCCTCACCAGTACGTAAAACTTGCTTTCTTCCTTCAGCCTGCGGGCTTCGTCTATCACTTCTCGCCACCTCCACAATCATAAACTCTTCTCTCTGCCAGTGATGAAGATGGTACCTCTCTCACAAACACCTCACCAGTATGTAAAGTAACTCCCTGAAAGCAATGTCACACAGGCGCAGTGAATAGTGACACTTGTCAAACATATCCCGAACTTCAAAAGCAAAGTGCTGTCCATCTACTCTTGGCAACACCTCCAGAGAAGACCTAGTAAGCCTCTCTCTCTCTCTCTCTCTCTCTCTCTCTCTCTCTCTCTCTCTCTCTCTCTCT